CTCTTCCCCTCACCGCCAAACAGTTGGGCGGCTGAGCCCCAACTAGCCCCATCCCATCCCGAACCCAAACCACCACCACCACCACGGTCCCCACCCGGCTCTGTCCGCCCTCCGCGCTGAAAGACTACAGCAAAAGGGGCCATAGGGGACGTGAGGCGTGAGGGGGGCGGGGGTGACGGAAGGAGGGGGCTCCGGAAGCCTGCACGCTATACATACTCTCTGACGGATAATGAATATGTAAGCGGCATACCGGACCGCCCCTCCTCACTCGCGCCCTGCTCCTCCTCCTCCTGCTGCTGGAGGTGGTGTGACATGCAGCGCAAAGAGGGAATACGGTACCACAGCCGCCGCAGCAGGCTGCTCTGCTCGCGGTCGCCGAGCTGGCTGCTGCTGGGCCGCTCTGCTGGCGCCGGTCGGGGTAGGCAACCAATCGTGCTCGCCTGTGTGCCGCAGGGCTGGCGGGTGCCGTACTACGGCGCGGGCGTGGTGTCTCTCATCATCGCCGTGCTCATGACGGTGTCGCTGCGCGAGCCCGAGCGCAAGGCCATCGGCGAGGAGAGCACCAAGCAGGCCGGCGAGCCCGAGGTGCCGACGTGGAAGGTGCTGCTGCAGCCCAGGATCGTCCTGCTGTGCATCGCCGCCTCCATCCGCCACTGCGGTGAGTGAGGTCCCCATGGACTCGGATGGTACTTTCGCGCGCCAATCCGAATAGTTTCGCACGCCGCGGTGTGTGGAGGTTCACACGAATTAGTATCGATGCGCTTCATCTTGCAGGTGGCATGACCTTCGCCTATAACTGTGACCTCTACTACCGCGAATACTTCCCGGACTACGACCTAGGCTGGTGGCTGTTCGCCGTCACGATCGTCATCGGCAGCATCGGCGTCGTGGTGGGCGGCGTCGTCTCGGACAAGATCGTCGCCAAGATGGGCGTGCGCTCCAGAGTGGCGTGCCTGGCCATCAGCCAGGTCAGTGATAGAGCCTTACATTTTCCAGAGAAGTTTTCCGGAAAAAAGTTAGTTTTGCCACTTTTTCCGTGAAAAATTTGGTGAAGGAGAAGAAGGGGAAGAAAATGTCTGTTTTTCCTGTAATTTTCTTTTGTTTTTTTTTCGCAACTTTTCCTTTTTCTTTTATCGTCTTTCAAATCCATAGTCAGTGAGTGGGCGACGCTGTCAGCCCGCGCGGTAGGCAACACGAGCGCAGTGCTGCACGTGGGCGCGCTCGGTTGCCTACCCCGCCCCTGTAGGGCCTCCAGCCCGCGGTAGGCAACGCGAGCGCGTGGATGCTCTCTGTTGCCTACCCCGCCCCTGCCCGCCCACATACGCGCCCCGGGCGACGCCCCCTGTCTGTGTCCGCGTGATAGGGCGGGCGGGGGAGCGTGAAAACTTTCCTCCGGAGCCGAAAGTGGAAAGAAAAGTTTACGTTGGCGAACTCCTCTTTGCAGCTTATTTCCACGCCGTTCGCGTTCTGCAGCGTGTACCTGTCGCCTGTGGGGGCCATGGTGACCCTGGGCATCTCCTACTTCTTCGGTGAGCGCGACCTCCTCCTGAGTGGACGGCGGCGGGGGCATCCGTCGGTCACTTTCTTTGGTACAATACAATGTTGTTCTCTCACGCGCAGCCGAGATGTGGTTCGGCATCGTGTTCGCCATCCTGGTGGAGATAACGCCGCTGGCATGCCGCTCCACCGCCGTCGGCGTCTTCCTCTTCGTGATGAACAACGTGGGCGGCAACCTGCCCATCCTGGTGGAGCCCGTGTCCAAGGCCATCGGCTACCGGGAGTCGCTGTACATCTTCTACGCCGGCTTCTACCTCCTGAGTAAGTATGCCGCGTTCTCTCGACCACCTCCGCCCTCTCGCACGGCTCCGCTCACGGTGACCGCCCTGCCCGCAGGCTCCGTGCTCTTCTTCTTCACCATGTTCCTGATGGACGGCCCTAAGCGCGCGCCCCGGGACACGGGCCACGACAACCCGGCCGCCACCCTGGAGATGGTGGCCAACGGACACGGCGCGCGCACCCTCCGGGTGTGACGGGCGCCCTCCTGCCGCGCGGTCAACCCGGGAAAAATGGAGCGAATTTCTCACGCGGTGTGCGTTGTGCGGGGGGGCGTCCGCAGCGGCGTCCATCCGGCCGCTGAGCTGCGGAGGCTGAGCCTTCTCCTCGGCCAGCAGCGCGCACCACACACCCCACACACACGCGGGATGTGGAGGAATGTTATCGACTTTGTCAGAGGGGGGAAGATGGGAAAGGGAAGACAAGAGAAATATTCTCACTAGCCTTTGAACGTCTCCGCCCCGGACCGGCGGTGGGTGGGGGGTTCTCAGCCTGCCAGACTGACGGCCGCTATACTGGCCATTACCATGCCGCGTGCCCAAGCGCCGCGGGACCAGCTGCCAAAGTTCCTGTATAGTAATAATAGATGGTCTCTTTCTCTCTGATCACATTGCCCGTCTCCAGCCCCTCCTCCCCCCCCC